TAAAAATAAAAAAAATCAATTAATAAATTCATAACCTTTATACCTATCGCTTTAAAATTTGACATATTTATTTGTACATTATGGTGTATTATTTCTTTAGTCGAATCGATAGTAGTTTTCTCCGGTTACTTCCCCTTTTTAACATTCAAAACTTTTACAGTGGTCGTACTTTTTTAAACGGGCATTAACATTGAAAAGATCGTTTTGTTTAAAAAAATGTCCTACAGAAGACCTTCTTAAGAAAAATTGCACTATTTGTAGGTCTGCCTATTTCGGTTAGCGTAGCAGTGTCTTGAATTTAAAACTTTGAGTTCAGTAGGCGATGAAAACAAAATGTTGATTGCTGTGGCTATCATGTAATGTAATTATTGTCGTATTTCTTTAGGATTCCCAGTTTTTAAAGGGTGAATCTTTGACTAATTTTAAAATAAAAAGTTCATATGAACATGGGTCCGCAATGGCTTTTTTTCTTGAAATACAGAGCCTCCAAAAATAAATTTTTGTTTGCTATTTTGATTATATTTTTGTCCAATAACATGACAATTTAACGAAATTCGGGAAACTGGGAGTATTGATGATGCGATACTCAAATATTTACTTAGTTTTTTGTTTAATGTTAGAGGGCACCATATACACTGTTGTACCTGGATTTAAATAACCATAACTTTTTTGTGTCGCACTGTATATCATTTGTCATTCAATTTTACGTACACAAGGTACTCTTAGTATTTGTCGCTGAAAGCAGCCGTTTTGTAAAAAATACGGGTTTAAAGTTAAACCTACGTTGGAACTTTGTAAGTTGAATCATCTAGAGTTTTTGAGAAACAAGTGAAAAAATGCCTTTTATTGATTGTATTGCGATGTGACAAACTTAGATCATTTACAAGACTAAGATTAAATTACTTCTACAATAAGTTAATAACATTTACAATAATTGCTGAAACAAAAAAATTTTTTTGGACCCTCTGTATCTCAAGAACCAAGCCGTCGCGTGCCCATGTTCATACGAACTTTTTATCTTAAAATTAGTCAAAGATTCACCCTTTAAAGTTTGTACAAATACTTAATAAACACCCTGTATATACGATTAGACAAACAATAAAATTGTGCGTAATATTTGAGAAAGTCCACTAAATTAAAAATAAGTTTATACAATAACATTAAAGATACCATTAACCTCTGCTCTAAGATCTACATAGACAACTTTTCCAGCTACTATTATGCAACTATTATTAAAATACTCTCTTTCAGAATTACCAAGATGATAAACATTTCATAAATTTTCTTTGTACGCTTTTAATCACAAGTTTAATATTTTCATAACCTGGATGCGGCCATATCCAATCTTCGATTGCACTAATAAGAAAAAGCTTGCAATTTCTCATTATAAATCCTAAAATTTTCAATCCAGATCTAGTTATCGCAGTAATATAATCATTAAAAGGTAATTTAGAATAAAAAGTTTTTAATTGTGTGAATTCTAGAAAGTCCCGAATGGTTCAGTGAATATGAAAATTGGTTACATTTTTTTTCTTCTTGTAAATACTTTGCTTTTAAAGACATTTATAAGGAAGCTTATATAATATAAGTTTTTATTAGTACCAACATACAGAAATAAAGCAGAAACTATAGTGTACATTTCGTCTAAGCTAGATTCTTTAAATATCATTTAATAGTATGCATAAGCATTTCTGAAATATGACAGGAATGCTGATATTACATTATATGTTATATTAACTAAGCTCTCAAGGTAATAAATAAAAATAGAATAGAGGACTCCAGGGCTTATACTACAGATATCTAAGTTATTAGAAAAGCACTAGTTCGTAAGTTTATCCAATTCAGTTAGTAATTATTAATAATCATTAAAAAAGTTATTTCAGTAAATAATTTAAAATCATCTACGTAAAATAATTTATTATGGATGAGACTGCTACAGGGATTGTTTATAAAAATAGTAAATAAGAGTGGTCCCAAATTTAACCCATGAGATACTCCGGAATATGCCTGCAATTCCTTAGAATTGTGACTAGTATACTGTACATATCGTTTTCTTCTAGCTAGATAAGAAGTGAAGAAATTCAAAAATAAATCACTGACAAAATTATTAATTTTTTAATTAAGAATATGTGGTTCACACAATCAAAAGCTTTAGAAAAATCGTTGTAAATTCTTTGACTGTCTGTTTGATGCTTCTGATATTATCGGCGTAAATCATGTTAAGGTCGTTATTATGGAACGTTTCTGCATAATGCCATATCACTCAGGATAAATTGTTTATATATATATATATATATATACAGGGTGTTTCATAATATATGCGCAGGACTTCAGGATGCGATAGCTCGTCCAAAAATTTGAAAAAAAGCTTGTATTAACTTACCCTCTAAAATGCACAATTTTCGAGATACAGGGTGTTGAAATTGTAAAAAAAATTTCGTTTTTTGCGAATATCTCCGGAACCGTTTATCGTACAGAAAACAGCTTTTGTAAGCATTTACTACTCATAATAAGCTATGTTCTGTGCGAGAAAAATNTATATATATATATACAGAGAGAGAGGAACACACAGGACGTTTTGCATAAGAAGCGACACAGAGCAGGGGCATGTAGGGGAACCCAAAATATCGTGATTTAACGCAACTTACCTTTATACTAAGCTACACCCCTGAGAAGTTATAGCGATAGTTATATAGGATGTTTCGCATAAGAACCGACACAGAGCAGGGGCATGTAGGGGAACCCAAAATATGTGATTTAACGCAACTTACTGGGGTTTCAAATTTCGAGAAAAATGAATATCTCAGTTATACTTGACCTTAGAAAAACCAAATTTGGTATACGGTGTGGTTATACCAAAAGCATTAATTGACAGTAAGTAGAGTTCAATTGAAGCATTTTAAAGAGTTGATAAGGGACGATACATCATTAACATGTAGCAGAATTTTTTAACCCGCTGACAGACTTAAACAATTATTACTTTATTTTATGGGGAATTTATTTTTAAAACTTTTATTACTCTTGCTAGTTTTCAAAAAATTTTGTCGTTTTCAACAAAAACACGAATAACTAATAATACGTATTGTAGCTGTTATTTAAAATCATCGAAAATTAAAAGTTAGCTGTGAATTTAAACGTCAAACTTGACGATCAGGGAAAAAGTTTATTTAACTTTAGTAATTTGTTTTGCTGAGTATTTTGATAAGTTTTCATTTAGCGAACAAGTTGACATGCTACTAGTGTTAGGTTTCTGTGAAGGAAACTACAGAAGTATTGAAGAATAACGGAAATTTCCAAATCGTGTAATTGCCCAAACATTTTCCAGTGTTGAAAGAGGACCTCGAGAAACGGGCAAGTTTTTCAGTAACACTCGAGAAAGTCCTATTGCAATCAGGGCACAAGGCGTAGAACTAATTTTGAATACAATTGAAGATGACCCATATATTAGTCTTACAATTCTATCTCGATAAACTGATATATCGCAAACTTCTGTGCACCGAGTAATCGGACATAATGTACTACACCCATATCATATCCAAAATGTGTAAGAAATGTTACCAAATGATTTGATTAAACGAGTGAAATTCTGTCAGTCATGAAGCACTCGCAGAGATATTACAAATTTACATAACTATCATGCATGTTCCGAGTAAACCTTCATTCAGTAACTCCTCGACATTTCCAACGCGAGTTTAAATAAATTTCAGATCGGTGTTATTGATCGGTATTTAACTGGTCCAGTTATTTTACCAAATCGACTAAATGGCGAAACTTATTTAGAATTTTCCCGGATCTACTTGACGAAGTGCCACTACAACTCAGACTGGAACATTGGTTTATGCATGATGGAGCACCCCCTCATTTTAGTAATATTGTTAGAGACTTTTTAAACCACCAGTATCAATATAAATGGATTGAAAGATGAGATAATTGCCCCCAAGTTTGGCCTCCCCGATCACCAGACCTTAACAAATATGACTTCTTTCTTTGTGGAACGTTAAAAGAATTTGTATAGTATTCCTCGCCAGTTTCGTCTCGAGCAGAATTGTGTAATCGCATTACGGATAAATGCACATTCATTACAAACAATCAGCATTTATTGGATAGAGTAGACTTGATCATTTTGAACAATTTCTGTAACGTGTCAGTGCAAATTGTATGTTATTTCTGTTATTTAAATTGTTTGTTGTTCTATTAAATTATTCTTATTCAAACTTTTTTCCTGATCGTCAATTTTGGCGTTTAAATTCATAGCCAACTTTTGAATTTTCGATTATTTTAAATAACACGGCTACAATACATATTATTGTATAACTAAGATATTGATTTTTTTTTCGAAATTTGATACCCCACTTTCAAGGTCTATAACTTCTCAGGGATGCAGCTTAGTATAAAAGTAAATTGGATTAAATCGCCATATTTTGGGTTCCCCTACATGCCCAGCTTTACTATGCTTTGTGTCGGTTCTTATACGAAACAACCTGTATATTATGAGTTAGGAATTTATACCAGAAGTAAAGTATGGAAATTCCTAATTATTAAATTAAACATATTCATTTATAGCATTTAAAAGATTAAGATTTACGTATTTCGGTGACCATCAAGAACAAGTTAAGCCTTATATAAATATTCATGCGGAAATTTCTAATGAAATTCTTGATACAAACATTGTTTACCATGACTTTCATGTTTCACATGGTGTATATGGATATAATCTGAAATTGTATAGTCGATTTATTTCTTTAAGCAATTTATAAATTAATCAAAGAATTTGATGTACAAGAGATCATTCAAATATTATTGTAAAATTATTATTCACTTGACAATGATAAAACGGAAATAAACCTTGATGCAATATAAAGAACAACACAAATATGAATGGCAATAATAGCTAAGAGTTGCTTCAAATAAATAAATATCATATTTTATGTAAGTTCTACGGGTTTTCTTTTACTTTTATATCTCACTGAGTTACCGAAATAAAGACAAATATATTTTATAAATACATTTATTACATAATTACAAAAATATATATTTTACTTAACACAGATAATATAAATAATATAGGTAGTAATATGTGCAAGAACGTTTTATCTCCTGTCTTCTAGTTCACCTATTGATCTCTGGTATGCCAAAGAACGAGCAATAGCTTCCGGTACTGGTGGTGGCGTAGGCAGATGATCAGCTTCAGGCACAAATCCGTCCTGACCAGCTGTGTAATTTACAGAGTATATTATGCTGTCAGGTCCAGTATAAGTAAAGTATCCCTTAGCACTTATACCTTCTTCGTTTGTTCCCTTATTTGCTAATTTTCCGTCTTCCTCAGCATAAATTCCATTTTCCGTTTCATAACTAAAAAAGCATAAAATTCATAAAACAAAATACTACATTTTTTACCAAAATAAATGCAATAGTAATACATTAATAAAAAATTGTCTTCCCATAATAAATTCACAAAATATGTACTGGGCTACTCACAGATAATCATACAGATCTTCTCCCACATGTTCGATTTTTCGAATAATTTTGTAATTGCGATTGTCATAGAGACCAGCTGCATTGCCTTGTCTTAGAGCAACAGGTGGACCATATCCCCCAGCGGGAGGAATGCTTTCAACATACACTGGATGGACGTATTCTCCACCTAAAGAAGATTATTGGCATTTAAAATGAAAAGATTATTTATATAGTAACTTATTATCTAACAAAGTTTAATAATTTTTTCATACCTCCTATATCTTGATGTTCATATGGAACATCAAGATGTTCGTAAGGTACATCTTGATGAACATAATCTCCAGAATTGTCATGTATATAAACTCCGCTGTCATCGTGAATGTATCCTCCGTCCGCATGGTAATATGCTCCAGCATCATCTGCTCCATACTGACCATCTTGATTTCGAGTTACGTAACGTACCTTATATGGCAATGCAGGTCGTCGGTAAGAAGAGGGTGGAGAAGGTTGTGCACGTGCGAGAGGTTGAAAAGGTCGTAGAGGTTGTGGAGATTGTGGTCGTTGAAGAGGTTGAAATCGTTGGACAGACTTGAGAGGTTTCAGAGGTTGAAGAGGTTTCAGAGGCTGCAAAGCAGCTGAAACCATCACCACCAAAAACGAGAACGCGACCTGAAAAAGAAATTCAATAATATATCCTCTTTCAAATACAAAAATAATATAAAAAATAGACAGAAGTCGCCATAATAGTATTACAAGATATTCACAAATCTTGACAAACAGCGTATGACTTTTGAATAAATGTTTTCACATTAAATTATAAAATTAGTGCATAAGTATTTCATATTATTGACATTTAGAATAAAGTTTTTAGGTAGTATTTAACAATTTATTTTTTACTAAATAATAATTACAATAACTCAAGAACACTGATAATAGACGAGATAATTAATCACAGTTTTCGAAAGCACTGGTGTCTAAAATATTTTCTTTACACACTGTAATGCAAAACTTTAGACTTAAGTACTGTACAGCATGAGTAAATGTGTCTAGCATTTTAGCAACAATACAATTTAATAAATTGAAATTATATTTACATACGATTATAAATGTAAACAGATTGTAACCAAAAATTCGTTTTCAATTAAATTTTTCAAACTGAAGATTTGAAATTATATTTCCATGCACAATAAAATATTATTTCATTTAAACTATCTAGAAATTTATTAACTTATCGTGTTAAAGATAAAATGTATAGTATAATCTATAATATAAGTTTTGAAGTAAAAAATAATGATACGATAAAATAACCAAAATAATTATTTTTGTATAATCCGTGCCACTACCTATCCACAACCTAATTTAATTTTTTATCAGTAGAACTATTATGTTATATATATAACGCACTAAATAATTTTTGAAAAAATCACAAGTCACTTTATCGAATTATAATCACCGATCTTTCAAGAAATATTTATTCACGTCGACATTGTGTAACGAGAACTCTAGCGACTGAACAAATGCACTAAACTAGTAAGAAGGTATTCCTTACCACAGCTTTCATTTTTAGAGGATAAAAAACTGAATGATATCAGATTCTCCTACAACTTTGTTTATATATGGATCGATATAGATGGGTTTTCTAGTTTTAATGAATCACATTAAGTATTAGGTAATCATATATCGGATTACTTTATTGTTCCACTACCCATCATCTAGATTCCTGACAAGATCATTAATTTTAATACAATTTTGTAAATTTTTAAAGTTCACCCAGAAGTATACTTTATTTGCATTTTACCTTGAGAAATAATCTAATTTACGGTCCTACCCACACTGGAAAAATATTTGCAGTTACAAATAATGGCCACACGTCAACACTGAAAACAGAAAATGAGAAAACAACATAATGTATTAAAAATTTATTATATACGAGTATATACATATAATATGCATAACTTCTTGAACCTTCTATTAAATAATTGAATATATTAAAAAATGAAGAAAGAAAACACCAGAATACTTTTTGCTCTTAACGTTTCGTTCCCGATGGAGAACTTTATCAAAAGAATTTTAATTTTCATATATATTACAGCAAGTCAATTATTTAAAACCTAAACAATCATTCCATACAAATTTTAAAATTTAATAGTTAAAAATATAGTGGAGAATTTTTTATTTTGTTTGTAATCTTTTTTTCTTATTTTAAAATTAACTATTATTTGCATTTTAATTTAATTTTATTATAAATAATATTAATTTTGACTTCTTCAATGAAAATAATAATTAACGTACAAAAAATTTAATGAATTATAAATACTAAGTTGATAAAAAAAAATTGAGAAACGTTAATCTAAATTAAATTTTAGTTTTCTCCACCAAACCACCCTCCAGTCTAACACATGTTTTCTTTAATTTAAGTATACTTTACATAGCTGTTGTGGAGTAATCTCTTCACAAGCTTGTTTTATGCGATTCATTAGGTAATCCGAATTCCTTGGTCTGTGTTTTATAAACTTTTTGTTTTATAAAACCCCAAAAGTAAAAGTCCATAGGGGGCAAATCAGGGGATCTTGGTGGCCATTGTACTACTGGACTCTTCTCCTAATCCACTTATTCTGAAGATGGTGATTAAGCCAATTAATGACTAAATATCTCTTCTTTCCAAGAAATATCATGTGTAATGTCCCATAATTCATTATTCATAAACCGAAGAAATACTTCACCATTTAAATTATTATAAAAAAAAAGAAGGGACTTATTACTCTGTGCTTTTAATTTCCTCAAAACACATTAACTTTCTGTGAATAGGTACTGCCTCTTTGTTGCAATTATTACAAAATTAGGATTATTTTCATTCCAAAATCTGATATTTTGAGAAGATATGACTCCGTTTGTCGTAAAGGTAGCTTCATCAGTGAAAATAATATTGCCCAGAAAATTATCATCATTTAAATAATTTTCCTGTGCCCGCAAACAAAATTCCATTCCCTTTCCTCATCATTCTCTTCCAATGTCTGAAGAAACTTGGGCTTAAACGGTTTTATATTATGTTTTTAGATAACAATGAATTTTGTTTTTCGAACAGTTTAACACCAAACTGGCATTTCGGAGACTACTTTTTGGGTTACTTATTACGAAAATATTGTAATATTGTTGTTGCTGATTTATTGGAACAACAGTCGTTTTGTGTTTTTTGGATACTGTAGCTACAATTAGCAAGACATTTAACGATCAATTACATTCTAGATATTAATTAGTAAATTTCTTACTAGTTTCATCAAACAACTTGTTGATGTTGCGAACAGTAATGTGTATGGTTTTATTATGGTGCCGCCCATTAAAGATTTCTGCAACTTCTCTAAAATTATGAAAATTTTCACCTCTTAATGTAACAATCTCTATATTTTCTTGTAAAAATAAATATTCTGCCATAACTGCAAGAGATTCTTACTTTATAACACTAACTAGTTTATCAGTAACAGTTAAAGGTCAAAACTGTCACCATTTCATTTTTCATCATAGCCTACCTGTATTATTTGCATTATTGTTTAATACATTGTTTAGTAATTATTTCATTCATTCAGTGTAATTGGTAAAGTAATAATGTTAGAATCGCCACGGCAGTGTAGTCGGTCGAAAGTGCGGTGGCAAGCATTTCCCGGCCAGGCTTCCTATTCTGGTCCGGGTTCGATCCCTGGCGTCGGCACTGGCAATGTCGATGGATGATGGGTGTTTGTCCGCGTTTTTTCAAGTGTAGCGCCTTTGGCTTTGGATTTGGGGGTTGTCTCATTTCTGTGGTGTGTTTTTAAGAATATCTTCCAATTATGGGAGAATATTTATCCTTACAGAATAAAAACTATGTAAAGTATTTCTAAATTTAAGAAGACGATTGGAAAAATGTGTTCACTGGTAATACATAATTTCATTTGGCACAAAATTTTCTTTCCAATGATACCCTATTTATTGGATCTTCCTGAACAGTAAACGCGAAGAGGGCTGCAAACCTAAAACCTAGATATATAGTTTTGGTACTGGCGAAAAAAATACCTAAGTATTATTTGTTAAGAGTCAATACAACCACAATCAATCATTTGTAAATTACCTTAACAAAAAACGTTGTGATTTAAATGCCAATACAGTTGGGTTTGAACTATATCTCATTTCCTTTAAAAAATAAATTTTGAATATCAAAATTATTTTAATTAAAATATTCAAACTATGATGACATACAAATTTTTATTAAACTGACTTGAGTGGTCAATGATTGGAAAAGCATTCGAATTTATGATTTAATTGTACCATACTAGGTAACCCTACGACCCCCCCCCCTGACCCCATAACCTGGAACGTGTCCATAACCTAACCCAATAACTCCGTAACTTCATAACCCTGGGTGTGCGAAAGAATTGAGACTGTAGTCCTGTTTTAACTCTGTAATTCCCTAACCCTGGGTATACAGGAATCTACAGACCCAAAATCTGGGACACACAGATTTATGTTAGAAATTCATTTACACTGAAAAATGTAATAGCACTTAGTTGTTTGTACAATCAGTGACAATAAATTTTTGCAATCAAAATTTTTCAAATAATAGGTTACGGGGTAACTCCATAGAGTAACGGGGTTATGAAGTAATAGGGTTATGGGATTATGGTGCAATGAGATTATGAATTACAGTGTTTTTGCAATCACTGACTACTCTGTCGGTTTGAAATATCGAAAACCACTTTCTAAAGGAGTTTCTTGATGTTATATCTCAGCCCGTCAGTTTTATGGAGCGATGTTTCTTCAGTGAGATACAAAAGGAAAAACACTGATGACTGAAATACAGCTTGCATTTATGCAAGAGGGATGTCATCCACTACGTCGCTATTACTGAGTCAGCCAGAACCCCTTTCGGAATGCGCACCGATTGTTGAAATTTTGTGTTTTAATCGGGGGTGAAAACCCCCGTGTTTCTAACATATATAACAAACACAATTTCTCCGAGTTTCTTGCTTATACATCCTCGTATACTCAGAGTTGTATGGTACGGGGTCATTGGGTTATAGAAGCCTTCCAACTCACAGTCTTGTTGTTTCGAACCCTGTTGTATTAGATCTATGTTGCTACAGTTATGCCGTTTTGATGCCGTAAGATCATGAATTCGAATATATTTCCAATAACTAACTATTTTGTTTTAAAACTCAAACTGATCCGAGAATTTTGACTTTATATTTGGATCCGGTGGATCATAGTACTATATCCTTTCAATAATTCCAAATCAATAATCTGTTTTAAAAGTTCCACAAACGAAATAAACTTTTCGATATGAAAACTGTAAAACAAATCGATTATCACCATCTTGACTATTAGAGACACAGATAGCTTAATAGAAAAAGTAATGTAGAATTTAATACATATTAATGTTTATTCACTTCGATTTTATTAAATATAAGTCGAAATCAATCATATGTAGCTCAATTCAATGATTAATCAAATTCAAATTCTTGAACATTTCTAATGTGATTTTTGTCCACCTTTTTAGCATAGTTAGTTTCTGTTTTAACCAACAATTTTGGAAGAAAATGACAGCTCTATTTTTTATATATATTTATATATTATATATTTATTATATATTATATATCAAACATGAAAAGTTGGCATGGCATAGCAGAAAATAATTTCATATAACAAATTTATCACCATCAGCAGTGTTACTTATACAATATGATTGTTCAAGTCAATGGTAAATTAAAAAATATATTGTAATTTAACCACCACAAAATGTAGACTTTTTATTATTAAGGCAGAAAATATCAAATTATTAAAATAACACATTTGATTTTTATGCAGTAATCGGGATTAATATCTGTTCATAAGAGCAGTCTAATATAAAAAATATTATAAAATAATTCTTCCTATTTGTAATAATAGTAAGGTTCTCTTGCTGAAGGTACAAAAATAATAATATGTTTGTTTAAAATAACTAAATTAAATTAAAAGAAATTCACTGAAACCGAATAAAAATTTACGTAAATAAATATAAGGATTTTTGTTCTGTTAGTTCCTTTATGTAGAATTGAACGGAATTCCCAGGAAAACTGAATATAAATCGAAAAAGAGAAATATTTGTGAGATGAGGAGAATATTGTCTCAAGTTATTATTTTAATTAATTGTGGCATAATTTTCGTTTTTTCTTATTTTTTTGGGGAACCTGTAAAAAAATAAAAAAATTAGAGAAATAAATCCTTGCGCCAAAACGATGAGTCAATGGTTATTTTTATGAAAATGGTTTTGCCTAACCAAAAAACCTTACATTGAAAAAAGCAGACAAATACAAAAACACATCACTTTATGTCGCGCACTTTAAAAAGTTGTTAACGTTTCGAAAACCTGTCTGTTTTCGTCTGAGCTTTTGTTGACTTTTTCGTTTCAGTTACTTTGACATTTTAAATTTGTTTGCTTTTGTCTTTAATTAAATTTAAATTAAATTTAAACTGCCAAAAAAAAAGAAAAATCAAAAAAAGTTCAGAAGACGGAAACAGGTAGATTCTCGAAACATTAACAACTTTTTAATGTGCGCTATATAAAGTGCTGTGTTTTTGTATTTGTCTGT